CGCTGGCGACGGCAGCCCCTACTGGTACAACAGGTACAGCCGTGGTGGCTGCTGGCCCTGCTAAACCCTACAGGAAAACACCCTGAGGAAGGAATACCTGGCAACAGAGAGATAAAGTCTTGATCCACGGCAGTGGTCCCAAAGGAGATGTTGTGAAGTCCTCATCACTCCCACACCACTGCAGTGGAGCTGGGAGCACACAGCATGTCCTTAATTTCTTCACCCTCTACTCATGGGCTTTTTCCCATCTGTGTCTAGAACGGTCATTTAAAAGAAGTAATTTATATTCTTATGAAATGGCACTTCACTGGAGAAGAATTATGGAAGGAATTTCCTGCACTCTGATGCATATTCTTGATGTTCTGCAATGCTTTTCTGTGAATATTTATTTCTCATTAAAATTATTCTGCTCTGCATCAAAAAAAGCAACATTTTGTTCTTCTTTCTTTTTGCTATGGATGCACAATTCTCTTCTCTGTAAATGGGGAACACTCCCATCCTTACACAGGATGAGGCTCAGACTTCAAAACCACAGCTGATGTAGCCCAGATCTCAGTGAAGTCAGTTATCCTTTGCTGCACTCAGTGCACACACCTGGGAGCAGGAATCTTCCCTCCACAGCTGGCCTGGGTCACAACAACAACATCATATTTGGAAAGAAACCGCCCTAAACCTCTATTCCTTAATGAGCCACTCAAACATCTTTTTATCGTGGCAGGAGCAGAGCTGGTTGTTCAGCTGAGGCTGGAATTGAAGCAAATTATGGAAAAAAAAAGGGTGGTAGAAGAAGCACTCAGGTGGGAGGGGTGCTCCTGAGTCAGAAGGGATTTAGGGAGGTGGGGAGAGAGTGACAAAAGGTATTGATGTGGAGCTGCTGAGAGGGAGAGGACTGGAGAAGCTGCATCAAAGAAAAGAGCACTTTGAAGGTGGGTAGATTTTGGACCTTTTAGATGAGGAATATTATGGGTGAGGCTGAAAGTTAGAGCTGCTGAAAATGGGGGCTTGTGAGGAAATGGGGTTGGCTGTGAGGATTTCCCATGAAGGAACTGGGAAACACAACAACCATGTTGAGGATTATGACTGAGGATTATGTTGAGTGTTATGACTCAGAGTCACAACTCACTACCCTTGGAGTAGGTGTTTGGAGTAGCTGCTTTTCCACTAAAACACATCCAACACCTTAAATTTCATGTTTATACTGAAAAACCAATACCCACACTTGAGATTTAAAAGTTCCATTGTATGGCCTATAAAACTTTAAGGTTTTGAAAGAAAACTAAATCAATTTCTTCAGACACTATCATGAGGACAGAGTTAAAGTATTTGTGTGAGAACCTGAAGTTCAAAGAGGTGAATCAAAAACTTACCAGGCAGAAATTTCTAATAAAGCACCATATTTTTAGGAAATATTTTTAAAGTTAGTAACCTACTGTTTCATTTTCCTACCACTGCTTATTTGTAACCAGTGGATATACAACCAAGAAATTTATAAAAAA